TGATTTCTCCCTCCCTCATAAGACAACACATTGACCTCTGTCTTACAGCCCATTATCCCCTCACAGTGCTTCTTGCATCAGTATCCAATGGCTATTCTACATTCAAGCTTTAATCTAAATCAACAATTGAGTGGTGTGAAATGATATTTCACCCCTCTGAAAAATTGACAATTTCTATCTAATATTACAACCCGAAAACCCCCAGGAATATGTCTTGCATAGGTTATTCCAATTTTGTTTGTGTACAAATTAACTTAATAAGTAAATGCAAGACGGTGTGAAATTGTATATTTTCCTCGATTATGACGACATTTTCTCGAACATTTTTATCAGCTAAATTCCCCAGTCCCATATAGTTCACTGCGCAAGTGCGTTTCAGCATCATGTTATCTAACTGATGATAACAATGCAAGACGGTGTAAAATGATTTGATGAAATAGGCCTCGTATCCCGTACTATAAGCCATACCCTTTCCATTTGAAAAAATTGAGATAATTCCAAAAATGCGTTTCTACTATCTTTAAATGAGTCTGTTGAGGATATAAAGAACAAAATAAGATCAAAACAAATTTTCCCAGGTTCCTTGGAGCAAAATTGAGCATTTTAACTAATTCATGGCGCTCTAGATTAAAAAGTGAAAATTTAAATAATTTGGAGATGAAAAGTCAAATAGTGACAAATGAGATGTCATTGTACTCATAATGTAGTTTTCTATTGAAATAAGGGAAAATATACCTGGCGTCTCATTTGAAATAAGAAAGTTACAGTCACGTCCGGTCAAACCGAAAGTGATAATAAATAATTGTTGTCCGGGTCATAAATAAACACACCAAATTTCATTTGTTTATTTGGAAAAATAAAAAAGTTATAGGGGTGAGCGGGTTTTGAAAAACACCCGGTATATGTATATAAGCACTTCAGAGCAGAAACATTCTTAATCCCTTGTATGTCTTTTGATAAAACCTAACATTTTCAATGCTTTATTATGTACTAGCGGCCCGCTCCGGCTTCGCACGGGTATAAAATACAGGGTGTCCCACGGTGGATGGCGTATTAGACGTTTATGGAGAAGTAAAAAGCGGATCATTTTGAAAATTTGACCACCGGGATAAACGACAATGATCTACACTTTAAAAATATTTTTGTTTATGCGGTGTTGCCGCTTCTACTCTAAACCAGTGGCAACAGCGCTATTTCAAATGGAATACCCTGTATGTGATCACATATTTCGATTCTACGTAAAATTCTAAGCGGATTTCATGTGATATACCCTATACCTAAGTTCAACTGTTTTGGAAATATTGACAGTTGAAAATTGACTTTTTGCAACTTTGACAGGCTGTAAAACCTGAACGGTTAATTTTAGAGAAAAACCGATTTCACATTCCTGTCTTAGATTCTCATGAACTATTATTTGACACCAACTTTGAATTTAACCGGAGATTAAATTTTATTGGAATTTTTAATCATGGATTAAATTTGAAGTTGATGTCAAATGATAGTTTATAAAAATCTAAGATAGGAATGTAAAATCAGTTTTTCTCTAAAATTAACCGTTTAGATTGTACAGCCTGTCAAATTTGCAAAAAGTTAATTTTCAACTGTCAATATTTCCAAAACAGTTGAACTTAGGTATAGGGTATATCACATGAAATCTGCTCAGAATTTTTCGTAGAATCAAAATATGTAATCACATATAGGGTGTTCCATTTAAAATAGCGCTGTTGCCACTGGTTTAGAGTAGAAGCGGCAACACCGCATAAACGAAAATATTTTTAAAGTGTAGATCATGGTCGTTTATCCCGGTTGCCAAATTTTCAAAATCATCGGCTTTTTAGTTCTCCATAAACGTCTAATACGCCATCCACCGTGGGACACCCTGTATATAGCCTATGTCACTCACTGAAAAAATGATTAAAATCGATCCAGTAGTTTTGATTTATTCATTACTGCCCGTGGCCCGCACGCGTTAAATTTGGAGTAAAACAATTCCCCTTTCCCTGTATTGGTTAAAATCGCTTCCTGCGTTTGCATTGTAAGCGGAAGAAATGTAATTATTTACATCACATTGGAAACCTCAAAAATAACAGTATTTCTCCACTATTTAATGGATGTTATTATACATATAAACCTTCCTCTTCAATCACTCTATCTATTTAAAAAAAACGCATCAAAATCCGTTGCGTAGTTTTAAAGATTTAAGCATACATAGGGATATAGGAACAGAGAAAGCGACTTTGTTTTATACTATGTAGTGATTAATATGTTCAGAAAATGACAATTTTGCATCGAATACTTGAAATGCTTCCCAGAATAAATGCAAAACGAAGAAACTGAGAAATAATACAAAAAGCAACAAAATAACTATACTTTAATATGCGAAAATTGGATAAGTTGAAAATGTAAAAAGAGATCTTTAGAAAACATGGTCAGATTCAATATATTGTCTAGAAAAAAAGTACAAAATCGAAAAAAATACAACATAAGCGGACTGGAAAGAAATACAAAAAACAAAAATAGTTATTTTTGTCACAAGTACCTAAAATGAAGTTTTTCAGGACGAATCAATCATTGCTGTTTCCGGACGAGGCGTTAGCCGAGTCCGGAATAGCAGATGAGTCCTGAAAAACTTCGTTAGGTACGTGTGACAAACATTATTTTTTGTCATACGCTTTTTAGAATTCTTCAGAACAATCAGAACGCTAAAGACAATTAATTAATGAATCAGATTAATTAATGAAATTAGATTAGATTTAAAAATGATCAAAAATCCATTTTCTGAAAAAGAAAGGATTTTTAATCATAAATACCAAAGTCTACTTTACGCGGTAAAGTTACTTTACCGCATAGTGTGCGGTAAAGTGCCACTTTCCATTTGCAAATAAAGTGCACTTTACCGCACGCTCGTAGGTAATAGTTATTTATGCAACAAGTGTGTAAAGTGAATGTGAATTTTGACGCACGAGCCGAAGGCGAGTGCGACAATCACATGAGTGAAAAAAGGTGCTTTACGCACGTATTGCATACAAAAATTTGTCTACTACCAATCAAATATGTGTAAAAAAATAAATTTGGACAAATACTTTACGGACTAGTGCGTGAAGAAATTTCACTTTACGCACTAGTGCGTGAAGTAATTTACCAGAAAAATGCCAAATTGCCAGTGTCGACAACTGTCATTGACATTACTTTACGCACTAGTGTGTGAAGTGAATTACTTTACGCACTAGTGCGTGAAGTAGTGCGTTGAAGTGAAATTTTACGTCTTCTGAATAGTGCGTAAAGTGAGTACTTTACGCGCGGTAGTAGAAAAAATAATTTTTAAACCATGTGACCAAAACATTTGTGTTTTTCCTCTTTTTCGCCTACGTTGCCACGGACTCCAAATAATGTGCCTCCTATAAAATTTTGTCAGGATATGATAATCTTCCTACCCAAATACCTCGAAGAACTAAAAATAGCCCAAGGTTGCGCCCCTGTATGAAAAAGGGATTCGGGATGATATCAGCAACTATCCAACCCATATCTTTTTTTAGCTACTTCTCTAAAGTAGTGGAAACATTTATAATTAATAAGCATCATATAATCAACAACAAGGTAATTTCCAGAGCATGTGAACGGTGAAATAATACAAATTAAAGTTGTAGTAGCTAAAATCGTTGACTCAAGAAAATCCTTTAATACCCCACAAATAAAAGTCGCCAAAATGAAAATTTTGTGGCAAATTTCGGAAAAGATGATGCAAGGTTACTGTGACGTAATAAGGACGATGACCTGCTCGAAAGTATCGTTGGAAAAGATTTAGACAAAATAAAATCTTGGCGAGATTGGAATGGATTGAACATTGAACAAGACAATCCGATTGCATTTAAATTGCAAAAAAAAAAAACGTTTTTGGAATTTACGTTGATAACCTTTCAACATTTGAGTATCATATTAATTACCTAAAATTATCAATTGACTGCTACTTTGTTGGTTCATTTGTGAGGTAATATTAGAGAGCATTTTTGTGAATACAGCGGAGGATCTTTAGTTGTGTGAGGCTCTTGACAATCGTTTTGAAAACATATTAAAATTTGCCATTTATTTATCTAGTATACAAAAAAATAATATTATAAATCACATCCAAAATAATGTTATTATGCAAGTAGCATGATTCCATGATTCCAAACTAATTTATGGAACTGAAAAACTCTAAAATTATGCCACAAGTCCTGCCATAGTTTTGAGAAATACTTATTAGGCAATGGACAAATTTTTGTTTTAAACGTGTGGTTTTGTGGCCAAAGCTTTTCATTTTACATATCTACTTCACTCTGAAAATTGTTGATGTTTGTGCTGTATTACCTTCCTTGTATTTTGTGCTGTTTTTGTGAGTAGATCTTTTAGATATAGATATTATTATATTGCAAAATTAATTGATGGGTTTGATGATAATTCCCTTCGATCATCAAAAGTCTCGAATCGCCCCCCATGAACACTGTGAACTGTGTATGTTTACACCTACTTAAGAGCCTGTTTATCTGCTTGTTTGTATTATCACCAGCAAACACTCACTTGACTCTGATTTTTCTTTTCGGACCATATTGTTTGTTTCGTTATCAACCAATGATACGGCAGCATTGGCAAGTGACCCACTTCATTGGAAATCTTTTCAAATAGGCTATCAATAATTTTCTATAGTATTAGCAATTTTTGTCTTAAATACAAGTATGTACTTACATTTACAAAATATTGCTCAAAAAAAATACTGACCAAATTGAATTTGAACTACAAAACAATTTTAAAGCAATTAAAAGTTTGTTGACATAAAGATAAACTCCAAGAATAAAATAATAAATTATTATTATATTATTATAGGAAAGTTTATGTTGTATGTTGAATAATTTAAAAAATATTGATTGTTTTTATTGTGTATGACCGCCTAGCAACAACTGCGTTTAATTATGGAAACCAAGATTAATTTTAGTTCATAATATGATTTTTTTTTTCAATTTCAGATCAATTAATAATCCTACAATGTCTATTCATTCTGAACTCTAAATATCTACCATAATAAAAACAGAGCCATGCTTCTTACTCTTCCCTACATGTACGCCACAATTCTCCAATGGTGGAGGCTGGGGGCTTTAAAAAATAAGCTCACAGGCACACTAAACTCCAATAATGCCCTTCTAGTGTGCGACGAATCCATTATTTTTGATACTACACGAACTAGGAGCATTGAAAATTTACTTTTTAAACAGGAAAATCGTATTGCTGTTACTGTTGTCCCCAAAGTAAGAAGTAAATGTTTTTCTAATATGTTTGTTGTATATATTTTAATTTTTTCAGCAAAGTATAAATTTAGGTTCCCAGTGGTTGTATTTTCCAAAAGACTCTAGATATTTTCCGATATATTTTAAACAAAATAAAATAAGCATTTGTAGACCCCATATATACATTCTGGTGCAAGCCGTTCTGGATAATTACAAAAAGCATCAAGCCGAAATATTAGCAGTAAGTATACAGTCTTCAATTGAATATCCGTTTTTGTGTTCAACTTGCCCTTTTTAGATCGAACAATTTGGAGAATTAGTAGCATGGAAAATCACCGAAAATTTCGAAACCATTTTGAGGAGCGATATGGACAAATTGGTCCAATTGGTGCAGTGTTTCTCTCAAAGAGATTGCGATATGAACCATGAACTTAAATTGTTGAAAATTGAAAGTAAGTGCAGAATAATTTCAACTGAATCTTTTACAATACTTAGGTAGTACTTCATTTTGTTATATCAAAACTCCTTTGAAATAAATTAATATTTATTAAAAATCAGCACAAATTAGGAAATACACATACTTATTAAAAAAAAAATCGGTGATTAAAAATTACCTACATAGTTATTTATTTGAGTATTGTAGAATCATTCTCTTGATGTGAGAATTCTTGTAACTAGAGAAGGCGGCAGAGAATGGCTGATTACACTCTGAGCACCTAATTCTTCTTTGTTGTCAAATACTTGATAGGTAAGCAGTTGACTGTGGGTGTGACTGAGTACAAACGACTGATGGTTTAATACTAATTTATTTAAGGAACGGTAGCACTATTTAGGTATAACAAATAACTGCAATATTTACAAAGGTAAATAACTAATGACTTAACTAAAGTGCTGTGTTTTACTGACCCACTGTTCGTAATGTCGATGACTTTAAAAATGCTTGACTAGTTGGTAAATAGAAAATATTTATTAATAGATAATAAGTTTTAAATTTGGAAGAAAATATGGCTATTTTGTAATTAGACATTCTGGCCACTCGGCTTCTGGGATCTCCGCTTCTCATTGCGTGGAGTTGGTGGTACTGAATATAGCGGCTCTAAGGTTAACGTTTGGGCAACCAGGGCTTGTCCTGGCGTGTGAGTATTGTGCGGTGGTACTGCACATAACGGCTCTAAGTGCATTAAATAAATAAATACCGCAGGTAGACTTGTGCCGTATGTATCCATTGTAAAAACGTACGTCTCGGGGTGATCGTACATCGGTGCAGCACACGCGTTCGCTGCACCTGTGTACGATGATGCCGACACATTGTACGTTTTTATATTGGATATATGCAGCACAAGTCTTTCCTCGGTATTTACTTCGTGTCGCACGTTGTATGTTGCATGTTTGATGTTTCATTGATGTGCGACCGCACTAAGGTTAACGTTTGGTCTGCCAAGGCTTGTCCTGGTGTGTGGGTATTGTGCCTACTGGAATTCTTTCTTTGCAAATACAACCATATTAGAAGCATTGCAGATACCCCCAGTATTAGCAGTACTATGGAGTTACTAATAATTAGATAATAGTGTACTTGAGTCCATTTGACGTCTTGTACTTGTTAATCGATGTCTTGTTCTTCACTCTGAAGTTGAGACAGGAGACAGTTGATCGGAGGCATCAATAACTTGTTCGTCGTAGGGAATCATCGTGATTTCCTTGGTAGGTTGAAATGTTTCCAAACTTAGTTGTACTGGGCGGACGAAAGCTCCTAAAACAGTTACAGATTCTGATCTTCTCGGTGTCAAAATATTTTTGTTTGTCATGACGCAATTTGATGAAATTTCGATAATTGCGTTTATTGTGGCCTCTTCTCTGATATCATCGCAGATAATCGCGATTTCTAATTTATTGGTAATTATTGCCATCCATGCGTTTGGAGTATGAAGCTGTTTCCATACGGCTGACTGGATGGAATAGCATCGAGTTTGGCATGATGTATTTTCAGCTCTTTAGTAAACTTCGTGGATTGTGCAGTTGGGGGTGCCGTCCATAGTTCTAGTGGTGGTAGGTGAACAAACATATATATTCTTACATTTTGACCGACGTTTATGCTATCTTGAAATTCTCCTTCGGTCAGGTCAAAATACAACTGAGAATTATAATCACCTGCTAGTAGTTCACTTGTAAGTGCTAGAATCCAGTACGCATTCTTTTAGGTCTTGATTGGAATAGGTGTTGGTTTAAACAGAACGAAATCGTTGATTTCTGTCATCATAAAGTATTCATAGACGTGGACACAGGACGTGGACAAATTCATCGCTGTGACACACGTACTTCAGTTCGTAAAATGGGTTAGGAAATTATATTAATGTTTGACGGTAGCTTCTGGGATGCGGATGCAATGATTTCTTCCGCATGGGCTGGAGATATCAGTTCGTAAAGGTTTGCTCGATGATAATGTACATCCAGTAATTTTTTATAGTACTCTATATATATAGAAGTTCGTCTATATAATTTGACATAATCTGGTATGTGCTCAAAATATTTATTTCTAGCTTGTTTTCATCCACTTTCTGGAACCAACCTTGCATCCTGTTAATGATCTTGAAACTGAATGAAGGCAGTTTCTGTTGAAACCTTTCTAAGTTATTGACGTTATTGTTTTTTCCATTCTCCGTTTCGTTGAATGTTGCTAGATAGAGCATGCAACATAAACTTAGTTTGGTGATTTGAGGCTTTGGTTTTTGTCAAGCTCGTCTATACTCATATATAGACTTCGTCGTTGACTCCAAATATTGAAGTGAGAACCTTGCCCAAAAGTCCTCGCTTCTCTCGCTTGGTGACCACAGCTTTTATTCCTTTTTCCATCCAGCAGTTGGTTTTCCTTTTCCCGTAAATGATGAATTAGCGATGTACCATCGTCACCAAAAGTATCTGGGACACAAATAATGTATAATAATCTCTGGGGTCGTATTTTCGAAACCATTCGAATGCCGTTCGTATACGAAATAAGCCGAAATTCGCATGAAAATTGGGGTTCCGTATTTTCGAATCACTTTCGAACGGTCCGTACACGATTTGGTTCGTGTACGTTTACACGAGTGGGTCTCCACCAATGACATCAAAACACAGATAGACGGATCATCCCATTCATAAACTATTATTTGTTGTGTTGACAAGACCACCCATGGGCCAGGGGAGGTGAGTTGCTCGCGGGGTCGGGGTAGGGAGACATCATTGCTCAAAATGGTGTAAAAAAACCCGCCCACACGTGAATATATCTCGAAATTTAATTGGATGAATAAATAAAATAACAAATTGACAAATAAACTGAAAATATTCGATACGAGCCCTTTATTCTGGGAGTACCAATATCGTGTTAGTCGTTTCTTGTTTAACGCTAATGAATAATCCCTGTTTGCAATAAAGATAGCTAGCTACTACAATCAACACCTGTCTGCCATTCAACAAGCCGCTTCTGGGCGGTGTTTTGCTATAATCTGCTGTTGCCAAATTGAGTCCAGAAATAAAATTGAAAATGTTAATTAGAGGAGAAAAATATATTATTTAGGGATTCATGACAAAATTTGGCATTCTCAGTGGTGGGGATAGCACAAAGACCCAAAAGAGACAGAGAGATGTTGTCATACGAAAATTTTGTTTATTGTTCGGTCTATCTGTGTTTTGATGTCATTGGTCTCCACCAGTCGAATGTCCCATTTCGCATACTTGCGTCTATATCTCAACGTGACTCCTTCAGTATGCGCGTGCGCCTACTTACCATAGAAGATTTTTAGGTTAGGTTTTTTTGTTTTGTTTTGATTTTGATCTTGTACGTTGTTACCTAAATTCCCTAATTTTGTTTCTACTGACTCTGGAATTTCTATCCACCCCGTTTAGGATAATTTTTTACTTAGCAAAAAATTAGCGCAAGAAACTCAATCTAGCCCTTAACTATTTATATCTGTAATAAATAAAACACAAAGGTACCTATGTATTTGGGTGAAAAATTTATTTTGACACAGAAAAAATCAAAATGCACATAAAATCTAAAAGAAAGTATCTATAGTCCCCGCCACAGATAATCGAGGTTCCTTCAAAAAATGATTTCTCTGTCGGCGATGCCCGGATAAGCAAAAACTGTTGCAAAAACTCTACACATAAAGAATTGAGAATAAATTTAGTCCAAGAGCATCAATTTTTTGATTTTGTTTATCCGGGCATCGCCGACAAAGAAATCATTTTTTCTAGGAAATATTGTTTTTTTCCTTCCAGCCACCAACGAATCATGCATATTTTTGGTATGTCTGCTTAAATTGCCCTGATTTGAAAATGTTTTGGAACACCAAGTACAGACATATTATTATACATACCTACAAAATTTGGATACATCTTCACTTCTGGACTTACTTCTCATTAGACTTACTCAATCACTTTTACTTATCTATAAGCCCTTTTTAATGTTTTCACTGTTTCCCTCCATCACGATACGAATCAACAGATATGTAACTACAAAAATTACCCTAAACGGAGTGAATAGAAACTTTAGGGTCAGTAGAAACAATGTTACGTTACGAAACAAGTACAAGTTCAAAATCAAAACAAAACAGGAAAACCTAACCTTAAAATCTTCTGTGGAAAGTACGCGCACGCGCATACTGAAGGAGTCACGTTGAGAAATAGACGCAAGTATTTCGCATGCGATTTTACTTGATTCTGCGCATTGCTTGGAATTTTGAAGTGCTAATCATTTTGTTAATATACGTTATATTTGTTATTTATGTACCTACCTAAATACGTTGTGCAAATTGAAAATTGTGTTCGATGTTCGTTCTCCTTTTGACTTTTCATTCGTTTCCAAAGCTGAATTTTCCAGATTATTAGTTCTGGATGCTCCTCCATGAAGCTAATCAAATCTTTCTTTTGTTCAGCAGACACAAACCCTCCAAAAACCAAGATTGTTAGTTAACGTTATAAAAAACAAGGACGTTCAAGGAAATCCCAACGATTAGGTGCACAGAATTTATTCAGCAAGATCTATACTAACAGAATAGACTAAATAATACTTGATAAAACTCAATAAACAGCCACAAAATACAAAAAAGACTTTGACAAGCAAAATATGGCCGGCAGGAAGAACACGAACTACTATTCACATACACTATTTCTAACATAAATACAACATTTTTAAATATAACAACGTAGATAATTCACAATTAGCATTATTTAAAACTCATAACACCATTTGATAACACCTAAACAAAGGGTTTGTGTGCCTCTTGGTAGACATTTTCATTTAAGTTTGACAGCATCTTGGATAGTTTATAGGTTAACAGCAAAAATATGGAGTGTTATCTTTGAATATAAAACTACAGGAAGGAGCATAACTTCGAATCTGCGCGACCAAAATATGTGGAGGTTGCATATGGCCGACTAGTATTTCCGGTTTGGCAGTAGCGTATATTTATTT